TTATTTTGAACACACTTTCTCCTAAGCCAATATTACGCTAGGTTGGGTTCTTTTATCTTATTTTGGGTCCTAGTATGCGGATGAGGCTTAGGAGTGAGTTTTGAGATGTTTAGAGGTCGAAACAAGTTCAAAGAAGGCTAAGCCAGAAGTCACGGTCTATGACCCCAAACCTCAAGGTTGTCAAACTTGGTATAAAAGGGCGCGAGAATATCACTAGGGCTCTAATCAAAAGTCACATCATGAAAACTGAAAGTCTCATTCATGCTTTTTCCACTGACTTCACTAGTTGATACGTTGTATTTTGAAAAGTCACACCTTGAAATCTGAAAGTCACGGTCGTGACTTTTGACTTCCAGCCCATGACTTTTTCACTGCTAGGGAATAAATACTCTTTTATGCAATTTTTTACGGGGAGCTTGGTTTTGGATCCCAAACACCTAAGGGGGAGTCGGACTTTGGCCCTTGTGGGCGTGGCAGGCAAATGCCGCACTGCTGGCCAAAGGTGGATGGTGGTTCCTCTAGGAGAAAGACACTCTCTGAACCCAACTCGTTCGAGCCAAGTATGGGAAACAATGATAAGGACAAAATCTCTTTCTGCCTATTCAGGGATGTTTTTTTTTTTTTTTTTTTTTTTTGCTTGGAGAAGCTTTACCAAAGCCTCTAGCTTGCTGCAACAAGGTTTCGCCTGATGTCTGGTTGGTGCAAGTCCCGCTTGTGGAGCTCTCCTTGCAATCAGTGTCGGAATGAATGATAATGGACTACGTTGTAGACTATCTCGACGAGGAAGGAAGATGGGACTCGGATCGTCTTTCTCCTTGGCTTTCAACAGATATCCAGTAGAATATCATGACAAGTCTGGTGGACCCCATTTCCACAAAAAAGGACAACCTCTTCGGACAGCCTTCTCGAATGGTCGTCTCTCCATGAAGTCAGCTTATCTCATGGTGTGCCCTCCTCAAAGTGACCCTCGCAAAAATATTTGGAAGCAGATATGCCGATTGTCGCTCTTGGAAAGGATTTGCTGCTTCACGTGGCTGGTGACATTGGGAGGAATTGCGACCAACCAGCTGCGATTCTGCAGGAAATATGTGACTTCTTAGCATGCTATCGCTGTAATGGAAGGCCGAAAATGATCCCCCCATGTCCTCCGGGAGGACCGGGACTTCCCTCCGGCGACCTTCTTTTAGAGAAGACATGTTCCCCAAGCAGAGCAGCAAGAGATTGGCTACACAAGAGCTTACTTAAAGATTATTCTCTCTCATCAGGTGTAAGCTAGAATGCTTTTTTCAACATGGTGATCTGGTGCTATGGAAAAATAGGTGCACGACCTGCTTCAAAGGTGTCTCCCCATCACTTTCGCCACCATCTTTGGCTCACTCGATCAATCATAAGGTGGTCATGTGGCATAAAGTTTGGCATGCTGCTATCTTTTCCCTGAATCGTCCATAATAGAAGGATTGAGAACATCCAATGGTACGCACCTCCGAGAGGATGGATGAAGTTTAATATTGATGATGGGGCATCAACGGGAAATTCGGGATTGCAGGAGCAGGAGGGGTGATCCGCGATGATCAAGTGCGGTGGATTATCGGGTTTGTAGCAAAGAATGGTGAAGCTTCGGCGGCGCTTGTAGAAATTTGGGTTGCTTGTTTTGTTTCTATCATTGTTGGCTACGGCCTCCTGTGATGCCAAAAAAAATCAACTGTTATTGTATTTTTTGTTTATAATACTTTAAAGTTTGATATATCTCACCTCAAGAGAAATAAATGTTGGCTAATGGTCATTGTTTTTTTTTTTTTTTTTGTTACTATTTATGCTATATCTTGTTAGATAGTTATTCATGACCATGAGCATTACAATCATAAAGAATAATTTTGAAATCACCTTAACGTCATACAAGTATTTCAAATAATTTGAAAAAAACCCTGTTTTCACATACCGCTCGTACCTCTGCTCTCTGGGTTTACAAGAAACGAATACTTCTCTTCTAATATATCACCCCCTCACCCAAGCAAAGCAAAGTTCCCATGGCAGCTTCTTGGGAAAAGCATTCCTTTCTTCTCCAAGGAGTACAGCATCTATATGTGTATATATGCTACCTGTGAGCTGCATACCAGAGAGCATATGTGCTTTGCTTCATCTCTCTTTCAAGTTTCCTGTACAGTGCCACTTTCTGAACAACCCCTTTTGATTTAATTTACAGCCCATTCTCTATTCACAAATCAAACATACGAACAAGCAAAGGAATAGAAGCAAGCAATCTAGTAGCTAGACTACAAAATACAATAAAGACTGTTCATCATGATCAACACTTATCCCAAAACCACCAACAATATGCATCATCCTCGCCATCTCCCTAACCATGTAGCCATACCCCACCAACATGGCGGCGGCAACCCACTCAACGAGTACGGGTTGAAGGACACCAACCCACAGCTCGGAGGAGGCCGATCATCATCATCAGCAGCAGCAGGATGGTTGAATAGCGACATGATGCTCTTCTCGTCGTCGTCATCGTCCTCCGCCACATTCGACCTCGTCGAGCAAATGACATACCTCTACGTTCGAGTAGTCAAGGCCAAAGACCTTCCTCCAACTAATTCCATCACGGGAAGCTGCGACCCTTATGTTGAGGTCAAGCTTGGGAACTACAAGGGACGCACCAAGCACTTCGACAAGAAATTCAACCCTGAATGGAACCAAGTCTTTGCCTTCTCCAAGGACAGAATTCAATCCTCCATCCTCGAAGTCATCGTCAAGGACAAGGAAATGGCTACCAGGCTGGACGATAACCTGGGGCGAGTGGTGTTCGACCTCAACGAAATCCCCACCAGAGTGAGTAATTCAATAGACCGACCGAACCATTAAAAAAAAATCGATAAACCATATAACTCATTGAAATAATTTATTTATAGATGTTGTTAACTTACTACAGTTCAAACACTGCAGGTTCCGCCGGACAGTCCTCTGGCTCCGCAATGGTACAGGCTGGAGGACCGCCGGGGTCACGGCAAAGTCCACGGCGAGGTAATGCTCGCCGTCTGGATGGGAACTCAGGCCGACGAAGCATTTCCCGAAGCTTGGAACACCGACGCAGCTTCCGTGTACGGAGAAGGCGTGATCAGCGTGAGATCCAAAGTCTACGTCTCCCCCAAGCTCTGGTACCTCAGAGTGAACGTGATCGAAGCTCAGGACGTAATTCCAAGCGACAGAAACCGGATCCCGCAGGTCTTCGCCAAAGTCCAGGTCGGAAACCAGATCCTGAAGACGAAGATCCACCAAAATCCGACAATCAATCCGTTTTGGAACGAGGATTTGGTGTTCGTGGTTGCTGAGCCGTTCGAAGAACAGCTGTGTGTAACCTTGGAGGACAGAGTTCACCCTTCCAAGGACGAGGTTCTGGGGAAGATTGCGATTCCGCTGACCGCTCTGGAGAAGAGGCTCGACCACCGCCCCGTGCATTCCCGATGGTTCGACATGGAGAAATTCGGATTCGGGGCTCTGGAATTAGGCGACAGGAGGAAGGAGATGAAGTTCGCGAGCAGGATTCACATCAGGGTGTGTCTTGAAGGTGGGTACCACGTGATGGACGAATCCACAATGTACATCAGCGATCAGCGGCCGACGGCGAGGCAGCTGTGGAAGCAGCAGCCCGTCGGGGTGTTGGAGGTCGGGATTCTCGGAGCTCAGGGGCTTCTTCCGATGAAGATGAAAGATGGCAGAGGGTGTACGGATTCTTACTGCGTGGCCAAGTACGGCCAGAAATGGATTCGGACACGGACCATTTTGGAGTCGTTTAATCCCAAGTGGAACGAGCAGTACACATGGGAAGTCTACGATCCCTGCACAGTCATCACTCTCGGAGTGTTCGACAATTGTCACTTGGGAGCTGCCGGCGGGGGGATTAATAATGGACGAGATTCCAAGATTGGGAAAGTTCGAATCAGACTCTCAACCTTGGAAGCACATCGAATCTACACAAACTCGTACCCTCTTCTAGTCCTTCATTCGAGCGGGGTCAAGAAGATGGGCGAGCTTCAGTTAGCCATCCGCTTCACCACTCTATCGCTCGCCAACATGATCTATGTTTACGGCCATCCTCTGTTGCCGAAAATGCATTACTTGCATCCATTTACTGTCAATCAAGTGGATAGCCTGAGGTACCAGGCGATGAACATTGTGGCGATGAGGCTAGGGAGGGCCGAGCCGCCTCTGAGGAAAGAAGTGGTGGAGTATATGCTGGACGTGGATTCGCATATGTGGAGTCTGAGGCGGAGCAAGGCGAATTTCTTCAGGATAATGTCGTTGATCTCGGGTACCATTTCGATAAGTCGTTGGTTCAATGAGATATGCCAGTGGAGGAACCCCGTGGCCTCGGTTCTGGTCCACATCTTGTTCCTGATACTGATCTGGTACCCGGAGATGATCCTTCCAACTGTATTTTTGTACATGTTCTTGATCGGGATGTGGAACTACAGGTTTCGAGCCAGGGTGCCGCCTCATATGGACACGAAGCTCTCATGGGCCGAGGCGGTCAGCCCCGACGAGCTCGATGAGGAGTTCGACACATTCCCTACTTCCAGAGGTCAGGACGTGGTCAGGATGAGGTATGACAGGCTGAGGAGTATTGCTGGCAGGATTCAGTCGGTGGTGGGAGATGTAGCTACTCAGGGGGAGAGGTTTCAGTCGCTTTTGAGCTGGAGGGACCCGAGAGCCACGAGCCTGTTTGTGGCGTTCTGCCTATTTGCGGCTGTTGTGCTCTATGTGGCCCCTTTCAGAGTTGTGGCACTTGTTGCTGGTTTGTACAGTTTGAGGCATCCCAGGTTTCGAAGCAAGCTGCCTTCTGTGCCCAGCAATTTCTTCAGGAGGTTGCCTGCTCGAAGTGATGGCTTGCTTTAGATTTTCTTTCCACTTTCCAATACAAGTATGTGACTTTGTAGTTTGTTCAGCTGATGAGTTGCTAATATGCATATGTTTGCCCTGTAGAAAAGTTGCAAACTGTTATTTTCTTTCTTGTATTTTAGAGAAGAAACTAAGGAAAGCAAAGATACAAATGAGGAGAAATCAAAACCAACAAGAGAATATAGTTCTTGAGATGCCATATGGTTCACATTGATCAGATCAGCTGGTCAGCAACTGCCTCTCATAAGAGAAGCACCAGAGTGACTTCAACCCCTCCATTGCTGATCATCAACATTCAAGGTTCACACAACCAAAATTCAGATCAGTATCCTCCTCTCTCCTGGCCGTGAAGATATACCATAAGTCGCCATCTTGACTTCATCTTCCGTTGATATTCAACATCCAACAGAGATCCTCCACCCCCAGTAAGAGTACCTCCGCCAGAGTAAGGCCAACACGGTAGTGACCGTGGTGCTTCAGGAACAATATAATCTGTAGCGATAAGACGTCCAGCTTTTGCTGGCAAGTGAGGGTCAAAGAGTCCACCATCATGGCCTCCAACACTGCTCATAAGAACATGAGCTGTGGAAGTTGGCTGATGATACTGCAGCTTGGTCAATTCGTCCTGATAATGTTGATACCTTGGCTGCGGCGTTGCAAGAGAGGGATCCAATCTGAACTTGAAGGTGCTGCAATCTCCAAGCCGGAATGGCTCGTCGGACCTCTTTCCATCTCCTCTCTTGTTGTTGTAACGAGGATAATCTTTCATCTCGAAATCAACTTGATCATGCAAGATCAAAAGGCTCTTGGAAGCAAGGCCTATGATGTTCCAGTCAGAATACGGTTTTGAAGTTTTGTGGGTGACATGTACTTCTCCATCAAGTCGTAGCATGGTTGATGCATTCCTGAAGAACCCATGCACTAGTTTCACGTGCTCTCTGCAATAATTGTCAACTAATTCGTGTTACTACAAGAGAGAATTATAAGTGATATTCAGATTCGATGAAGAGAGCAATGTGCCTAAGCACTCAGCAATTGGTCAGTCTCCATGTTACCTGATCAGGCGGGGATCGTCTTCCTTTCCGTGAAACCCTGCGTGGGGGAAGTTGAAAATGATGCGATCAAACTTGCGCATACACAAGTCAGGGAGAAGCTTCATTCTGGTTGCATCCACTCCATGGAAGACCTGAGCTCCCAACATTCTCAGCACTTCTAAGTTCCATCCTGCTGTTTTGTATTTCTTCTTCAACTCGTCTAGTTAAGTCAAACAAAAAAGCACAGAATGAATCCGATGGGAACCCCAAGGAACGAATCAACTCATATTCTTACACAACATATCAAAAACCAGAACTTCATGAATGATAAAACCAGAAAGGGATATAAAGATTTCGGGAACAACTGGATCAATGATTGTCTTTTAATGTAAAGTACAGAAAACCCTAAGAAATTAAGAGAGTTCAAATCAGCAGCAGAGCAGAAGAACCCAGTTGATGATGAGTGTTTAGGTCAAGTGAAGTTTTTACCGTAGGTGTCGAGAGAGGTAGCGACGATATTGTAAGCGGAGCCGAAGGCGAGACCCAAAGACACAGTGAAAGAAAAATCCCCTTCGCCGACCAACATTATTTCTTGATCCGACGAATAGTGGGTACTTACCCGCCGACGTTGTTCCATTTCGTCGCCGTCCGCCATCGCTGGGAAGGTAAACAGAGCCTACGCTACGAATATTGTTTGATACAGAGATAGCGCTGGGCACTGTTTCCTTTCTCTCCTAGTCCAACGACTCTACTCATCTCTCTCCTTTTGCATTCTGCATTCTTCGTTTGCCTTTGCTCCATCATTGAGCTCTCCAAGTCCAACTATTCTTAATACTGCGGCTAATTATTTGAATTTTGAAATTTATTAACTAATCAACTTCATAAATCATAACCGGTATGGTAAGCAGACCTTAAGTTGCATCATATAACACGGGTAAATACCATATTTAGTCATTGAGATTATTAAATCGTGTCATATTTAGTCACTAGAAAAAATTTAATAACAATTTTGGTCATTCGAATTACTGAAACAGGTCACATTTGGTCATCTCCTGTAGCCTCCGGTCACTCGAATTACTGAAATATGTCACATGTAGTCACTCGAATTACTGAAACATGTCACATTTAGTCACTCTCCCGTTAGTTTTCGCCCAACCTCAATTAATGGAGCTGGACAGAAACTAACGGGAGAGTGACTAAATGTGACCTGTTTCAGTAATTCGAGTGACCAAAATTCATATTAAAATTCATATTTATAGAGAGGTCAACTTTTTGGTCGACTGTCTAACTCACAAGTGGCACTCTTTATTCCAGGTTATTACTCTATTGTTATTTCTTATTCAGATGTTTGTCGTTGGGCCTTGTTTGACTCGGTTGACGGTTTTACCGTTTTCGTTTGATATTTGAATAAGAGGTAGATTGGTGCTCTACACCCGTTTTTAACAAAAAAAAACTGAATGGCTAAACACCGCCCTAGGTTGTTATTATCGCCCTATTTTAAACTAAAAAAATTACTGTATTATCCTTTATGAAATAAATTAAATTAAAAAATCCTCCTTATTCCTTCAAAACTTGCAGCCGCACTATCCAACAAGATCCGACCACCATTCACCAACTCCAAATGCTCCGCCACTGCTGTGGCTTCCTCTCTTCATCGCAATTTTTTCTTTTTTTGTGAATAAAACCCCCACTCCACCACCAGAACCCCCCGACTGTGGATGTCGTATGAATCATCCATCTCCAAACTCAACTTTGAGTCGTGTCTTTTCCTTCTCTTCGCCTCCGGAATCAACTCCTAGCTGGCGTGGGTATATACCTTCACCACGTCGCCGGAATCAACTCCCGCTATCTATGTCCCATATACATTATGTGTCCCTTCTCCCCCTGCGGTGAGCATAGCGATGATATTGATGGAGGCGGTTGACGGTGGAAATCGACGACAATGGGCCGCCGGCAGTGGGAATTAACGGCTGACGGACGGGCACAGATAATAACGACAACGGTTACGAATTTGGGTCCAGTTTTCATATGGATGTGTTTATTAGAATAAAATATTCCCTATAAATAAATTAGTGAATGACAAATAGGTAATTTTAACATTTAAATTAGGACAATTGTAGTAAAATTAGGGCGATATTTAGCATTAAAAAATGTAACCTAATGATTTGTCTTTTTCTTTTATTTTTGAGAAGAAAATATGGAAAGAAAGATAATGAAAGACTAGGGACCGGATCAGGTCAGTAACTCACCCATCAGTAACTGTCAGTAATCCAATCATTTGTCCCCACGTGTCAGCTTTTTTCTTTTATTTAAATTAAACACGGAGGGGCACTAAGGTAAATTGCACCCCCTATTTAATGCTGACGCGCTGATGCTCTGACACTGACTTTTTGACCAGACGCGGATCCCACCCTACACTGGTTCCCTCTCTCTCACTCTTTGTTTATTTATTAAAAGAAAAAATACATTAGTTCTTCTCTCTCCCATATACAACAAAAATTAATCTAACCATTCTAGCTATCTCTGTTCTAATTTCATCTCAAATTGAATGATGATTTATTCGTTAAATGATTCAGTGCTAAAGACAGTAATTACAAGTATAAGTATGATTATCACTTTCTACTATCATGGTAAAACATGGTAAATATGTTGAAGAAAATTACAAATCTAACTATGATACAATACCACATGGTATAACGTGGTAAAACATGGTAAAATATGTTGTAGAAAATTACAAATCTGACTACCATACAATACCACATGGTATAACGTGGTAAAACATGCTACAGAAATTTACAAATCTAATTACCATACCATACCATATGGTATAACATGCTAAAATAAAATTACAAATCCAACTACCGCCACATGGTATAACATGGTAAAGCAAGTTACAGAAACTTATAAATATAACTATCATTCAATACCACCATAGTAGAACATGGTTAATCGAATGAACACAAATTAATTGTAATTACCATACAATACCACATGGTATGAGAAGGTAAAACCATACGAAAATAATATAAATCTAATTACAATCCTCTAGGATCATAGGAAAACATTATATCCATAAAAATACATTTCGTTACCACACTTTACCATATGCTATAGACACATTACCATATGGTAATGGTATAGTGTGGTAATCTCAATATATATATATATATATACAATTACGACTCTCTTCACTTTCTTCTCCCCACTTCATTGTCTTCTAACTCTTCTTTCTCAGAACTGTTGTCGATTACCACCCACTACTATCATGATAAAACTCGTGACCATAAAAATACATTTAGTTAACACACATTACCATATGGTATAGTGTGGTAATATCAATATATATTACCTAAAAAAAGGAAGAAAAACAAAATGAGGGAGAGAAAAAAAAACTCGTCTTCTGTCTTCTCTCATTTCCTCTTCCACAATCAAGAACACCAAATGCAAAAAAAAAAAAAAAAAAAAAGAGGACGAAGATCAGAATTGAAAATTCACAAACAAATACTAAAACATAAAACATGCAAATTCGACTCAGATAGATCTGTCCCCTCTTGGTCAATATGGAGCGTCATCTATTTTGAGGTCGAGAAAAGAAAGAACAGAAGGAAGGAGCAGATCGAGAGAAGAAGGATTTGGAGCGTTACCAAATTTGAGAGGGGAGGCTACAATTTTTTCTTTGTCGATTGGAGAAAAAAAAAAGAACAAGAGAATGGAACAGATCTAGATCTGGAAAAAGGTGTTTGGAAAAGAGAAAGAGGAGAGTGAGAAAGAAGAAAGAGAGATGAAGAAATCTGAGTGAGCATATAAATGTTGCAAAGAAAAAAAATTTAAAAAATCAGACAAAAATGCCCTAATCTCACCCCACATCAATATCAGCCACACAATTATTCCCCATCAAATCTACTATTCTCATTTGATTACTGATAAATGAGTAACCTGGTTACGGGTTACTCACTATAACCCAAGCAGAAAGACTAAAAAGAGAGGAGAAACAAGTGGATAAAATCTTTTATCTTCGACCTTTCCGGTTTCCTTTCCTCTTCTCTGCATCGCCCTTTGCTTCCCTAAGGCTAAAGTCTCTTCCTTTCTCCTTTTGCCTACTTGCCAACAATGGCGGCTATCTCAACATCGCTGTTATCACCGTTACCCACAACTGCAAAACTCCGCTTGTCCAAGAACCAATTGAAACCCAGTGCCCAAATCCACAATCAAACCAACCCAACTCACCGATTCCCTCAGCTGCGGGCGGTTCTTAGCTCCACGACCAGGCTCCGCGCAGTAGCTGAAGAAGCCGCACCAGCTGCTGCTTCTGTAGACCCATCCTCGCCCGCTGCCAGAAGGGTGTACGTCGGAAACATCCCGAGGAATGTGAATAGCGAGGAGCTCAGAAAAATTGTTGAAGAACATGGAGCTGTTGAGAAAGCTGAGGTGATTTGCTTCTCCTGTGTTTTTCTGAACGCATATAAATAATGTATTTTGGGTTGATTTCCCCTGGCTTGTAGCACCTAAATAATGACTTCTGCGTTGCCTTTGTATGAAATTGGTTGTTGGCTTGAATTGGACTTGATTCTAGCTGATATAAGTTATAAACCACTTCTTTTCAATCGTTTGTCAGTATGGCGTAGAAAAGGCATAGTCTTGAATGGGGATAAGCATATCCAAGACCTAATCCTTGGCGCAAAATGAGTTTTTTTCTTCTTCTTGTTCTCGTTGCAGGTTATGTATGATAAGTACTCAGGCAGGAGTCGTCGATTTGCATTTGTCTCAATGAAGACTTTAGATGATGCGAATGCGGTAGTTGAGAAGCTGAATGGCACAGTAAGCCTTTCCTTTCTTGTTCACTAGTCTACAACCCAAGAATCTAGTTGGGAGGGTAAGCTTTGGAGAGATAATTTCATCAGTGTTCTTGGTTTTAACTCGCTGCAGGAAATTGGTGGACGGGAGATCAAAGTGAACATCACTGAGAAGCCACTGGAACAAACAGAATCACCTCTCTTGCAATCTGAGGAATCCCAATTTGTTGACAGCCCACACAAAGTCTACGTGGGGAATCTGGCCAAAACAGTGACAACAGATATGCTTAAGAACTTGTTTTCTGATAAGGCTAAAGTTTTGAGTGCCAAGGTTTCTCGAGTCCCAGGAACTTCGAAATCCAGTGGGTTTGGGTTTGTCACATTCTCGTCGGATGAGGATGTAGATGTCGCCATCTCGTCTTTCAACAACTCTGTAAGTTTCAACCCATTTCTGTGTCATGTTTATGTTTTTTTGCTTTTTTTTTTCAATTCAGCAGATTCTCATTTCTGGTCATTATTCTCTGGAGCAAGTATTATTTATGACTTGAACCCTTTGTCTCTTCAGATACTGTTTTAAATTGCTCTGTTTTTCCTGTTAAGGGTTGTTGTGTTAGTTCAATTCTGATAGTTGTTTGACCTTTTCATGCACTTGCAGCCGTTGGAAGGCCAAAAGATTCGAGTAAACAAGGCTTAGTGAAGTTCACTGAACAGCTAAAGAGTTATGGAGACAGAACATTACCTCTTTTTTCCATCCATGCGGGAGAAGTTGGGTCTAGAAAGGGCACGGTCATGTGTTTCTCTGAAGTGATACTGCTCTGCAGGCTGCAAATGTGCATTTTAGGTGCCAAAGCTTAAACAACTAGCTGATTTTGCCATTTTAATCAAACTGTTTGCTCCTGTGTTTGGGTAAATTTATGAAGGGATGATGAGGCAGGCATTGGTAACTTAGTACTCTTGCGTTTTACCTTTTGGTGTGAATGGGTGAATGGTATTGGGTAGAAAAGAATAATACTAACACAACTCTCCCTGCAAAACAGATTAATCTGTTTTTTTCTATTCTTGGCCAGAAACAGCCAAAGGTTAATATTTGTGGAATATACTTGCCTGTTGTTCCTTTATTCAACAGCAGGAATAAGACACAAATAAATGGTCTAGAGCTATAACGACGTTCTCCATGAACTTAAGATGAATTCCCAGTTCACAATGGGCCTTTTCCTGACATCCTCCTCGGAGCTTAGCCTTCAGCCCCTATTTCGCTTGCCCTCTGAGAGTCTTAGTCTGATTTTTGGTTGTCTGATCACACTCGAAATTATGTATCTACTTATCGTATTTTTGCCTCTGTTCGATAGTGGAGTAGCAGGGTCATTTTCATTCCGTAAAGGTTACAGCCCTTTTGTGAGCAATGTGCTCACACGGTGAGAATGGAGTT